GTGCATATTTTTTCAAATGCACATATGTACATTTTTTTATACTATAATATTCGTAAGTAAATCACAACAAATCTCATATTTATTAATTAATCTATAAACATAATAGTACGATTATTTTATTCGATACAAAATAAAATATAAAAAATAAAAAATGCTACAAATTTCAAAGCGTTTTCATGTCTTCGTGTCAATATTTCCATATTTTCTTCAATTTATCATTATCCACCTCTTCAATATTCACCACAATTTCTTCCAAATCTACAAGAAATTAAAAAAATTGATTGATGCAAAAACTTCACAAAAATACATATGTGATTTACATGTGAATCACATGTAATTCATATCTGATTCATGTGTACATGTAATTCATATGTGAATTACATGTGAATCACATGTAATTCATATGATTTTACAGGAATCACAAGAGAATCACATGTAATTCATATGTAAATTACAATTCATATGTGAATTACATGTGAATCACATGTAATTCATATGTGAATCACATGTAATTCATATGTGAATTACATGTGATTTACATGTGAATCACGTGCAATTCATATGTGATTTACATGTGAATCACATTATTCATATGTGAATTACATGTGATTTACATGTCAATCACATGTAATTCATATGTGAATTACATATGAATCATATGTAATTCATATGTGATTTACATGTGAATCACATGTAATTCACATATGAATTACATGTGATTTACATGTGAATCAAATGTGATTCATATGTGAATTACATGTGATTTACATGTGAATCACATGTGATTTACATGTGAATCACATGTAATTCATATGTGATTTACATGTGAATCACATGTAATTACAACGTTAAACTTTTTATAAATTTAGCTAAGTAAAAAAGAAGCAACCATAGTTGTCCAGATTAAAGTGTTGAACTCATTATACAATGTTCTCTTTCCAATCTCTCTCATATGGCTTAACATGAAGACAATCTTGTTATTGTGTGGACAAGATGAGGACAAATTTATAAAAGTTAGGGACTTAATGGGAATTGGGAAAGACTCATTTGCCTCAAGTTTCATATTAAGTATTCTTATGCATTAAGTCAAACCAACCTGTAAGAAATCGACTATTACGGATTCCAGTTCAAACAGATATCCATTCATCATTTGTGTCAACAATGTTAGAAAGATCATCATTAGAAACTTCAAGAATAGGTACAGCAGTACCATATTCAACTAACTTGCAACCCTTTCCAACTACCCTGAAAAGAAAAGGAGAACATGGCGATTAGAGGCGAATTTCAGTTGCACAATCTAATATTGAATATATGCAAAGCTTTTGATTGGGCATCAATAAACAAATAAACAAAACATGCATTGCTTTCTTCTAAAATGCACTTCATCAGTCTTAGGCATCAATAAACACATAGTAAGAAAAAAAACTGACCAAATTTACCAATCACCTCATCTGTGATAAGCACCCACAAGCTGTGCAACTAGGTCTAGAAGGAGCCCCCTCAAATTAGCCAACAAAGGATATTCAACCTGACTTACAACCTTGTAATGAGAAAATTTATCAAATAAACACAACACCACATGACATAATTCCAATTATGCCACTTGAAATCAATGAGCACATCAACTAGATATCTTCAAGTTTCTGAAGATAACTTGCCCTTACCTGTCAGCATTGATCAACCAATCAATAAAAAATGTTCAAGCCCACTCCATAGTTTTCTGCAATTACAATAAGCATATCCTTTTTAGAACAAAATGAACCTCACTTACAAGGATTAAGGATAGACTAATGGTGGAACAGCCAAACCTTTTTCTGAAATTCAACACTGATTCTTTTATCATCTGCATTAGCTAACTGAGCAACAAAGATGAAATCTACAAGTTCGTTCACAGGAGCATCTTCACCTTTTTAAGAATCATGAGAAGAAAAAAAAATTGGTAAAATATATTTTGTATGATTTAAAATAAATACAAATTACAATACCAAGTTTGTTCATTGCAAACTCGACTTCCTCAATAGTGAAGTTCATCATTAGTAAGGAAGCCTTTTTGTCATCAATGTCATTGCAGCCTTCATCAAGATCCTACATAGTAAGTATTTTTAGCAAATTCATAACAAACTCTGATGAAGATAAAAGTCTAAAACTAACAGATATAATGGACTTGTAGGTCATGTAAACAATAGTAATAATAATCCTAAAAACTATAAATACTATCTACAAGTGAAGGCCCCAATCTATACATCTGAATCCATGAAAATAAGGATGATGATCTTACTGTGATCCCATTATTTGCATTAACAAAGCAATTTCACACTAAAAATATAACAAATTCTCCATAAATCTCTAAAGAAATGTTCCTACATACACCCCAAGCTGAACTATTTTAGATGAAACTAAAAAAAAAAAGAATACAAATGAAGGATTATAAGAGAGAATGCTAACAAGATTTCTTGACTGGAAAAGATGAAGCATAACATGTCTAGCAAAATTGCAGAAAATAATAGAGTTGTATAAGTTCTCCCGAGACACTCTCTTCCAACTAATCAACATCTATTTCATCAGTTAACATTGTATCAATGTCATAAGCGTTGACCTTCATTTGCAGATGAAAAATTCAAAATGAAATATCATAAAATCATTATTCATATCATGTTTTGCAACCCTTAAGCATAGCAAAAGAAAACACATAAGCATCCTTGATTTATAATTTTTACAAGGTTTGTAAACTGTTTGATAATCAGATTACTAATGGATCAGATACTTGAAAATGAAGAGAAAATTACGATCTTATTGAAAAATTGGAAACATTACCTTAGAATTTAGAATAGCACTGAGAACATAACAAAGAGTTGCAACAGATGCTTTGTATCGGAGTCGAGCTTCATTGAGACCTCTATTGATTTTATCGAAGATAATATCTGAAATCTCGATTCTATCGTATCTTCCAAATGTTTTTTTCCCTTCCATCGCCAACTCGTGTGTCGATTTCTAACTGGTGATGATCGTGTTGCTAGTCTCGTCTATTGATTTCGAATCTTAACACGAAATTGAAATTGTGGATCAGAAAACAATTGCAAACCCTAATTTTTGCAATTGACTGAAACAGGAAGAGGTGAGGCGACGATAGGAGGAGAGAGATTTCTCATCGTGGTGTTCTCTTTTAATCTCACATCGATGTTATCCTGATCGAAGGAATCATCGTCGCAAAGGCGTAAAGACGTGTGTATGTGTGTGTGTGTTTGTGTGTGTGAGGGAGAAAGATAAGTGGGGGAGAGACAATGAAGAAGGCAATTAATCGATATGGTGACGATTACAGGAGGCGCCCATGGCTTTCAGATGGTGGCATTGGATTTCATCAAACGATCAGCGATGAAGTTGACGTGATGAAGGTGTAGGGAGAGGGACGGGATGGAGAGAGAGAGAGAGAGAGAGAGAGAGAGAGAGAGAGAGAGAGAGAGAGAGAGAGAGAGAGAGAGAGAGAGAGAGAGAGAGAGAGAGAGAGAGAGAGAGAGAGAGAGTCGATGTGATTAATTTGATAATGGGGTATCAATTATAGTTTCCCTAAATGCCCTTGATTTATTTTAATAAGATGCCCCCATCCCTTTTTATTTTCAGGTATTTATAAAAATGCCACAAAGCATCCTAACCCTTTATTATTTTAATCTAATGGTCATTGTTTAGTTCTCGGATTCTCGGGAAAGTTTGAGTTCTCAAATGATCATTGATATATATATATATATATATTATATATATATATATACACACACCACACACACACAACACCCCCACACACACACACACACACACACAGGGGCGGACCCAAGAATTTTCCGAAGAGGAGGCAAAAAAAATTTATAACTTTTTAAGGGGGGCAAATTTTTTTGATGAGTAAAAATATATAATTTTGAAGGGTTAAAATATATATTTTTTTAAAAAAAACCTATTTTTTAATGAATTTTTTTTTTGTTGTGGGGGCAATTGCTCCCGGTGCCCCTCCTGTAGGACCGCCCCTATATATATATATATATATATATATATATATATATATATATATATATATATATATATATATATAATGGTTCCAAAATACGAGGAATGTTCTTTAATTCATTATTATTTAGAAACACATGATGGTGTATGTAATTCGGCTTCGTGAAGTTTTTTATTTCGGAACGACGGACTTTAACTTTGGACCTCGTTAGATGTTGATTACTTTTTCATCATGTTTTCCTTACACTATTAAAAGAAAGAAGAGGGAAAAAAAAATGAAACTCATAGTGAAATGTTGATGGGTCCATCTAAAACTCCCAAAGCAGAAAAGTAAAATAAAGGCGTCATGATGTTTAGGGCAAACCTCTGTGGGAATCTATCAAAATTTTATAATTGATTAAAATCAAGTTAAAGGGCTGGACATGAACTTTCCTTTGTTTTGGCTCGGCTATTTTTATTTATTTATTTATTTATTTATATTTTTTAATCTTGCTTAATGTTTAGCTGAAAACTTAAATTTGAAATAATAAATGTAATTATGTACATATAATTATATAAATACATAAATAAGTAAAACATTTGGTGGATAATTTTGTCTTTCTAAAATGGATATGCGTCTATTTTATTTTGTTGTTGAGGAGTATTAGCCATTATTATTACCATTTAATCTTATTAGTAGCATCATTAATTATTGGTAGCATGAGACGTTGAAAAAATAACTTGGTAATACTAACAATTGTAATTATATATATATATATATATATATATATATATATATATATATATATATATATATATATATATATATATATAGAGAGAGAGAGAGAGAGAGCTAGGTTCAAATGTTTTTACCAACTATTGTGTGCATGAATGCACCAATAGGAAATTAGAAAAAAATAAATAATTAAATAAATCATTTAAGGGTATTATAGTAATCTTTGCATAGTTAATTATGGTAGATTAACAACAATGCCTTATATCACGCAAGAAGCAAAGATAAATATAGAACATTAGCCCTAAATCGATTTCACCGCTTCCCACCATCCCTGTAGATCGATTTCACCATTTCTCTCTGTCTTCTCTATTTGTTCTATATTCAAGCCCTAAATCGATTGATGAAACGAATGATATGGGTATGGCTGTTACAATTGTAGAAAGAAAAGAGAGAGAAGGAATGCAGAGATGGGTCAGGTCCCAATTGTACTGCTACTCCATGGCTTCCCTAAGATCTGGTACTCCTGGCGCCATCAGATCCTCTACCTCGCCGCCCACGGGTACCGAGCAGTCGCCCCTGACCCCCGTGGCTATAGAGACACCACCAAAGCACCTATTGACGATCCTACCAAGTTCACTACACTTCACGTTGTCGGCGACATGGTCGCACTCATCGCCGCTCTTGGTGTAGATAAGGTGTTTGTGGTTGGGCATGACTGGGGCACCATGATTGCTTGGAGCCTTTGTTTGTTTAGACCTGACAAAGCTAAAGCCTTGGTCAATTTGAGCGTTCACTTTGCCCCAAGAAACCCTCACCAGAAAATTGTAGAGATTTTTTGTGTTGCATACAGAGATGATCACTACATTTGCCGATTTCAGGTAACAAATCTACTGTAAGACTCTTACCGAAATTTTTAGAACTATATATTGGTGTATAATTCATGAACCTAAGCGCGAAGAATATTTAAAATAGCTTTCATTTAGTATTTTCCATGGATAATATATATAAATTGACACAAAAGGTTCGATTTTTTCTTCCCCGTTTAACTTTGTTGTAGGAACCAGGGGAAATAGAAGTTGTGTTTGCGAGTCTTGGAACCAAGAAGGTTTTTGAGAAATTCTTGACACATCGTGATCCTGATCCATTTCATTTCCCTAAAGATAAGCCCTTTGGAGCTTTGTATGATACTCCTGTCATCTTACCATCATGGTTATCCGAAGAAGATGTTGATTATTACACCAAAAAGTTCGAGCAAACTGGTTTCACAGGAGGAATAAACTACTACCGATGTTTTGACCTGTAAACTTTTATCTATTCTTTATTTCTTTACTTGTTGAATTGAATAATTAATTATATTGTTGTTTTTGTTCCTTTTTAGTTGTTGCACAGAAAGTACAGTGGGAATTTCTTGTTTAATATGTTGGGAAAATGGAAGGAATCTGAATACTCTGGTCAATCTGTTCCAGTTGGTGGTCTTGCTTATTATGTTACTGCACCTTCTCAAGATAATGACTGACTCCATTCCATATTTCCATTCCATTCCATTCACATTCCTTGATTTGTGATGATTTATTATTTGTTTGCATGTGAATATCATCATCAGCTTGGCTGATATGGCAGCAAATCCCTTCCATGCTCTCTTTTTTTTTCTTTTTTTTTAATATTTTAGTTAATTGAGTAATACTTAAAGGTTTGCAAACTTTAGCTTTAAATGGTTTCAAATTTTATAATTTTTGATTTTCACCTACAATAATATAACTTGTTTGCTTTACCAAATGAATGTTAATCTGAAAATTCTTTCAGAATGAGGGCAATATTCTTTTAGAATAAAGATGGCTTTAGTTTGAAGAAGGCTACTATTCTTTCAGAATGAGGGCAATATTCTTTTAGAATAAAGAGGGCTTTAGTTTGAAGAAGGCTACTATTCTTTCAGAATGAAGGGAAATATTCTTCACATGTAATCCTGCAAATTGATCAGACCTAGACAACCAAAAAAAGGCATGGAAGCTTTAATTTTATTCTTTTACAATGATTGTTCTCTAAGAATGAACTTGAATTTTATTCTTTATTTTTTTTCATATCAGAATGCAAACACAAGTGTATCACTACAAATTACTTGGCAATGAATTTCTGATAGAAATGGCTTGAAGAATGGCTTGAAGACCTGATGGGAAAGACTTGAAGAATGAATTAAAGAATGATCACACTTATTGTTTAAGAATGTTGTTATTTTTTAAGAACTATACTTGTTATTCTTTCAGAATGTTTGTTATTATTCAATGAATCATAATCATACAATGTAATTATTTGGTATATTATTAGTTCAAGAATCGATTTTGTGTATTATTTCAGAATATATTTTCTAGTTTATGGTTGACATTCTGTCATTCTGACAGAATAAAATCGAAAAATATATTTACTAGTTTATGGTTAAAATTCTATCATTCTGACAGAATAAAATCGGATTTTTAATTTTAAATTAATTCAAAATATTCAGATTTTGAAAAATAAAAGAATTAATTATCCCTAAAAATCCGAAAATTTCCTTTTTTAATATAGGTTAATTGACTAAAATGCCCTTATGCTCAAATTTGTGTGATTATATGGTACGTGTTATCCTATTCTACTATCATAGACCCTCAGATCATGAACTTTGATTATATTTCATCCAATGGTCCAGATCTGTGCATTCTGCCACACAATAGTTACTAAAAACAAAATAGCCTAACCCTATATATATATATATATATATATATATATATATATATATATATATATATATTTATTAATAAAGCCCAAACTTAGGATCAGTAAACCTGTTGGTTTTTTGACATATTTGGTGCAGCTATTTCCTCTATATCACAATTGGTCCAGCTCTTTATCATTCAAATTAAATAAAGCCACCCCTCCTTTTAAAATAGATTCCAAAACAGACCTCATCCTAAAAAAAAAATGATTTAAATATATCATTTCTTTTGTTTCTGCTTGCGTCAAAGGCAGGGGGAGTAACTATTCAAACTTCCTTTCATAATTAATTCCTATTTTCTCTATATCACAAGTGGTCCAGCTCTTTATTATCATTTCATTATATACTTATAAAGGAAGCATTTTTCCTTTCACCACATTAATTTGAAACTCCCATTCATTTTTTCTTTCACCACATTCATTTGAAACTCCCATGACTTTTCAATTTCTTTCTAATAATGATTATAAGTTGGTTAATAAGGTTAAATAAATATAAAACCTAAAGTGTAATCATATATAAACTAAATCTTACTATTAAAAGAATATATTTCTTCTACTTATAAAGTTATGTTTTTAACTTTTAACATATTATACTTAATTTAGTAGGTCTAATATATTGTTGTTTGAACAATTTGTATAAAATACTAAAATTGTTAATTTAAATATAACCTTACAGGATCAACTTAAATATAAATTTTAATTCAACTTAAACAACAGAAAAAATGTTTTGTAAATAGTTAAAAGTGATAAATTGTAGTGACTTTCTGATAATGATTATAAGTTGGATAATAAGGCTAAATAAGTATCAAACCTAAAGTGTAATCATAAATAAACTAAATTTCAATATTAAAATAATATTTTTACTTCTACTTATAAAGTTATGTATTTAACTTTTAACATATTATACTTAATTTATTAGATTTAATATGTTGTTATATGTAAAACATTATCAGTTTAAAGCTACAACTTTTGAAAGGTTTGTACAAAATACTTGAAGTTTTAATTTAAATATAACATTACATGGTCAACTTCAATATAAATTTTAGTTCTACTAAAAAAACCCAAAGAATATTTTGTGAATAGTTAAAAGTGATAAATTATAGTGCTAAATGCAAAAATTAAATTATAATATCAATTTAACTAAAATATTTCCTAAGGATGTTTTTATAATCGTTAAAAGTTTTCAAATAAGTAGCTTAAAATAACTTATAATAACAATAGCTAAAAAATAACTCTATATAAATGATTATATTGTTACCTTTAAAATAAAAACAAATTGTTTGATGTTTTAAATAATTACAATGACAGAAATTAAAAAGTTAAACAAATAAATTTTAAAAAATTAATTAACAATAACAAAAACTATGAATAACATTAAACCATATATTATATTTAATTTTATTCATGAGCAACCCGCGAGTAGATGTCATTCAAAAGATTAAGATTATGCAATTTTAATAGATGTATATATATTATCATATAATTCAAAATAATCAGTATATTATATCAACGTAGTATACGAATTATCATATCAAATTTGACAACATTATTGTTTTATTTAAAAAAACATATATTTGTAAAAATGTCAGCTATATAGTTGCTTCTGCGCGTTGCGCGGGCATTCGCCTAGTGTATATATATATATATATATATATATATATATATATATATATATATATATACTAATTTTGAGCTCCTATGCAACAGTACTTTCATATGATTGGTTGATTTTTTATTTAATTTTTTTATTTTCTCCTTTGGTTTTTCTTATTTATCTCTTTTATACGTGTACTGTGCAAGCCAATATATATATATATATATATATATATATATATATATATATATATATATATATATATATATATATCTTTTTATTTGATATTTTTTTGAAAGATTTGTACTTCTGCATCTTCGTGGTCTTCAAATCTTCGTCTGATTGAAGCGGTTTGGCCAATTTCAATTACAGACGTCGTTGTACCTGCGTAAGCTTTATTTTTCATTCTTGGAAGTAGTTATCGGTCACTTTTGGGTTAGTTGTTGTTTTTGCTGTTCAAATAATGGTATTGACTCGATGTTTACATGCGACATGTTGGTGGGTGTTGACCTAATCGTAAAGATTACATTAACAATTTTAGGCTTATCTTTGACTCTTCTAATCCTATCTTGAGCATGCAAAATATAATAGTTATATAATTATTATAGAAGCATATTAGTTTAATCTTACCTTCCTATCTCTACAATTTTCCAAATTTCTACACTAGATGGCCTCAATCCTATACTAATGTGAAATCATGCATGCACGAATTCATGAAAACATAGATGGCAGATAAAGAGGAAGTAACCTCTGTTTCATGAAGAACAGCTTCGGTGCCACTATCGATGCTTATACGCAGGTATTTTTTCAAGATTTTATCTGTTGTGAAGTTCGATTTGTTTCATGATCATATAGTGTTTGACAAAATGTTTCTTTGGTTATGTATGACATTCAAACTTGCTATTGCTTCAAGTCTCTCATTCCATTGACAATGAGACCAAATAACTGCAAATTTCAGCTTAGTGCCTGATTAATGTATAAAAGGAAGAAAGCATTAGTTGCACCAATCTTATTCATTTGCCCAAATTAAGAAGGAAGAAAGCATATGACTTGTTATATTTACTTTAAATATTGGATTTATCTTATTTCCCTTTTTCTTAGCTGGTATGACCAGACCAAAGCAATTACCTAATGAACTTTTATCTGACCTTGCAGTTTCTACAACAACAAAACTCCAATGCTTTTGGGTATTTCTCAAATACAAAATCAAAAATCTAAAACTTTCTTTTCTTTTTGTTTATTTCTGTTAAGTTTGATTGTTTGATGATTCTTTTTCATTTCAGCAACTTGGGAAATACTTTAAACAATCAGCCAAATCATCGGAGAAACAAGTTGCAAAAGAAGCAATATTCTATGGAGCTTTAATAAGGTCAGTTTCAGCTCTCTTTCATTTTCTTTATGACAGAACCCTAAAAAAATCTACCTGATAATAGATTGCAGCAGAATTGGAAAGTTAAGAGGCATAGAATGGCTGCTTCTGCTGCTGGAAATGAAGGTTTCTACATTGATCTGTTTGACTATATATTATAGGATCCGACAACTATATTTCGCCCTTCTTCAATGTCAACTTTGTATCCTCCGTACGTACATAAATCACTACCATGGCCATTTCAACCTGCACACAATCCAAAAAAAGCTGCAGCAGTTGAAAGCCTCACAGACATAGATAAAACCAGAAAACAATTAAATATAACACTAATATGATTGATTTACGTGCTCATGCCAAAAAGATCTAATCTTTAGTATATCCTTAATTCCCTATTTGAATTTAAAAGTTTCATCATCTCTATCTGTGGTTGAATAGGGAACACCAACAGTCCATTTAAGGAGTCGTCCAAATGTGGGGTCGATCAGGTTGCTATTCAGATTGGAATGACATTTGAGGTGGAGGCGTGTTAATAGTTTTTGATTATATTCATATCTGATTTTGAAAAACACCTTATTATCTGTCGATATATCTATTGTAAATGACATGTAGTAACTGGTATTTTTAAGGGAAGAATTCAGATAATTTTGGAGAAAGCCAAGAAGTGCCCAAAGAAGAAGGTTTTAATCCAAGCTCAACAAGATGGAACAAAAGAAAACCCAGGTTCGGTTTATGTTCCTTTCCTTTCATTGGCTTAAAAAAATCTTTTTGTTACTTTTTTGTTGTTTATTAGTTGATTTAAAATATATTAAAAACCAATAATATTTTTTTCTGCTTTGGATATTCTCAGAGATTTCTCATTTACCACTTACAGCTTGATGCTAAGAGTACTAGTATTGTAGTTGAGAGTATGAATGATAAGAGTTTCATTTAAACAGAGATAATATTGTGTCTTATTGTTGTGGTTAATTTCAACTAATTCTTTTACTTTACTTTCAATTTTGCTTCTTTAATTCCAGAATGTTTGAGAATTAATATCTCATTTATTTTGTCACAGCAAAAGGTAGATCAACAATTGGCACAGGGAGTAGTGATATTTACCAAACAAATCAAAATCAAAATATGAAAAGGTAAGGTAGATATGTCATGATTTTCCTTGGAAAAAATGAAATGAAATTTAATTCCGTTCTTCTGAAATTTTGTATTTGGCAAAAATGATTTTCCTGTCCAGGCTGTTCTCTTTCATGTCTAAAGGCAGCATGTAATGATCTTCTCATTTATGTAACAAAGTTTCATATTTTTCCTAATTTATGCAGAATTGTTTTAGTAACTGTATTGAGGTTATTTTGAGCCAATGATTTCCATTTTTCTTATCTATTGATTTCTCAATAGATCTTTGTGGATGGTCTTTTTACCACTTAAAGTGCCTCCAAAGTTTCAAGCCTCATTACACCTGTCGGTATAAGTTGTACATTATGCATTAATAAAACAAACCTGACTTCTTAAACAGGTAAATTTTTATTCATTTATGGTTGAAATGTCTATAACGGCTTTCAGAGTTCTTCCTCAATACGCACCATTTTCACCTTGCTTATATGAAGTTCTTGATTATGGTAAAATAGGTTGCGTTGATGGATTACTTGGAAAATTTTATCAAAAACAAGGGATTCAGTATGAATATAGAAAACTTATATGAAGTTCTTTATTTATGGTAAAATAGGTTGCGTTGATGGACTACTTGGAAAATTTTGTCAAAAACAAGGGATTCAATATGAATATAAAAAAAGGCAATTGCAGGATCGATCACAGCTTTTGGCAGATATTCAAGCTGTTAAACTTACTCATGTTTTCAATTCTATTTGAATAACAATATATAACCATTGTAACCTTTGTTTGGATTTATTGCAACAATAGCTAAAATTAACCAATGTTTCCATATTTGTTTCGGTCTTCTTTGATGTTTTTTGTGCGTATCCAACCCCGCAAAGCGCGGTTCTTCCCTAGTATATATTAAAATTGTTCAAAGTTAGGAATAGTGAACTTCATTGTTTTTTTTGTCAATTTTGCCCTTCATTCTTTAGTCATTTTGACATTTTTGGTCATTCCAATCAAAATTTTTATATTTTTTAGGAACCTTTTAATATTCAAAGTTTGGCCACAAAATTTTAAAGAATTGACAACTTTGGTCCCTTTTCTAAAAACTTGCTCATTCCAACCCTTTAATTCTTTAGCCATTTTGACACTTTTGGTCCTTACAGTCAAAACTTTTATATTTTTCATAAAAAACACAAAAAAACGGTCCGAGACTTTCTGCCGCCTGTCATTTTCTTCTTTTGGTATATTTTTTCTATATTCGTCTTCATATTTAATTTTTTTGTTTTTTCCTGCCTTCTATATATTCGTCTCCGTCTGTGAAAATTAGGGGTCGAATTATCTCACCTGCATCTTTTAACTAAAACGATATTCAAATCAGACGCACATGACCCATTCGGAGCATGGACAACATATCTAGTTCAATGATTAATATTATAAAATGAACGAATATTTCTTTTGGACTTTAAATTATTTGATGATGCAATAACATATTAAATTATATATATATATATATATATAAGTTCAAATGAGAACCCCTAAAGGTTAAGAACCCTAAGGTGTTGTTTGGTTCGCATAATATTGTCGAAGGAATTTGAATTGGAATTGGAAAAGGAATCTGTCAGGAATTTGAATCCAATTCTATATGTTGTTTGGTTGGCAGGAAATAGAATTGGAATTAATCAAATTCTGTTTGGTTCGCAGGAAATGGAATTGGAGTTCATGTAAAATGACATAATTACCCTTTTTGCCTGTTTTGCTTAATTTTACCTTGTTTTCTAACTTATAAGTAAAGATATATTATGAAAATTATAAAAACAGTAAAATTATGGCGGTGGTGGCAGTGGTGGTGGGGGTAGTGGCTGTGGTGGCAGCGACAGTGGCGGGTGGTGGTGATGGTGGCGGTGACATTGATTGTGGTGGCGGAAGTAATGGTGATGGTGGCAGTGGCAGCTGGTGGCGACAACGATAGCGGTGATGATGTTGGTGGTGGCAGTGGCGGCTGGTGGCGGTGGTGGTAGCGGCGATGGTGGCAGCGTTGGTAGTGGTGGTGGTGGTAGTGTTATTAGTGGTGGTGGTGGTGGTGGTGGTGGGTGGTGGTGGTCGGTGATAGTGGTGGTGGTGGTGGGTTTTCTGATAAGTACAAGGGCTATTTTTGTAATCTATCACTTTCCTTGATGAGAAGGAATGTTTTCCATCCAACTTTGGAAGGAATTCACTTTCCTCCATATGGTGGAAAGTTTATTTCATTTAGGAATCCTTTTCCCTCCTCTAAGTCCAACCAAACGCATGAATTCGAGGGAATTGGAATCCTTTTCCCTCGAATTCCATTCCTTTCCTGCCAACCAAACGCACCCTAAGAACCTCTAATTTTTAACTTAACATCAAATGAAAACTTAAACTACAAAATAAGACATGGGTTATTTTTCTGGCATCCAAACACTCCCACTCACATTCAAAAAGCTCAAACACAAACCCTCCATCTATCATCATCAACTACCACCATTGCCAACACCTACCGATGCCGCCATCCTAAACCGTTGCAGCCGCCGTTGACCGTCGTTGGTTTCGGTCATCATCACCATCATATTCCAGCATCATCTTTTTCTCTTTATTTTTTTTGGTGAAACACCACCAGATCTACATCAGATCTTGGATCTACATCAGATCTGGTGTGTTTGATGCATTTCAAGTCTAGATCTAATCCACCACCACATCAGATCTACTCCACCACTGATTTTCACCACCACTGATGTTCAGATCTGCGAGCTCTGATGACACATATTCCTCTCGCCTCCATCTCTTTTTCTCTTGATCTCCATGAAAGACCACTAGATCTGTTCAAATCTGGTCCACCACCACCTCTACCAACCATAGATGTATGTCTTCAACCTCCAAAACCCTTTGTTTTCATAAGATCTGAAGCGGTTCGGTCCAGATCTATGATCCCCGGTGTTAGATCTATGATTTTCGACATCAGATCTATGATTTTCGCTTATGGATCTATGATTTATGCCTTCAGATCTACGAGTTCTAACGAGATTGACGGACTAGGTCTGAGAACAATGTCAACTGCCACCACAACTACTGCATTGTCGCTCCGGTGTAGCACCACCAAATCAGCTCCATCTTTTTCTCTCTGATCTTTAGTGAAACAACACCATTTAGTCAAGTGTTGATACACCTGAAGATCCGAGCGACACAGATATCATTGAGCAAGAAGTAACTCAAAGAAGTGATGTCGATGAAAGGGAGACGTCACCTCCACAACTTCAAAGGACGGAAAGAATCTTAAAGCGTAGTCCCAAGTATGCTAATTCAGCCATTTTAGAAGACGGTGTTAAAAAGCCGGAGTCGTATGAAGAAGCATTTAAGAGTAAAGCTTGGAAGAAGGCAATGGAAGAAGAAGTTATAGCCTTAGAGCAGAATCAAACTTGGGAACTAGTACCAAGACCAAGAGATATAAAACCCATTTCATGCAAGTGGGTTTATAAAATAAAGCGCCGACCAGATGGATCAATTGAAAGATACAAGGCTCATTTGGTGGCTCGAGGGTTCTCACAACAATATAGACTGGACTATGCTAAAACATTTAGTCCGGTGGCGAAGATAACTATTGTATGGGTGCTGCTAGCTCTTGCAGCTAGTAAAGACTGGAAATTATGGCAAATGGATGTGAAGAATGCATTCTCGCATGGAGAATTGGACCGGGAGATCTACATGAACCAACCAAAGGGATTTGAGGATGCAGTTAATCCCAATCATGTGTACAAACTAAGAAAAGCTCTTTGTGGATTGAAGTAGGCACCAAGAGCCTGGTATTGTAAGATTGCTGAATTTCTTACCCAAAGTGGTTATTCAATTGCACATGCAGACTCGAGCTTATTTATCAAAGAAAAGGAAGGGAAGTTGGTAATTGTGTTGGTCTATGTGGATGACTTGATCTTCAATGGGTATGACGAAAGAGAAATCCATCAAACAAGAGAAAATCTATTGGTGTGATTCCAAATGAAAGAGTTGGGGGAGCTTAAACACTTCTTAGGGCTAGAAGTTGATGATATAAAAGAAGGGCTGTTCCTCTTCCAACAAAAGTATACAAGAGATATACTTCAAAAGTTTGGCTTGTTGGAGTGTAAGGCAATATCAACACCAATAGAGCCAAATGCCAAGATATATGATCATGAAGGAAAATAGTTGGACGATGGAACGATGTATCGACAACTAGTAGGTAGTCTTATCTACCTAACTTTATCTCGAACTGACATTGCTTATGCAGTTGAAGTTATGAGTCAATACATGCAAAGTCCGAAGAAATCTCCTTTGGATGCTGCCCGACGGATCTTGAGATATGTCAAAGGTACAATTGACTATGGTCTCTTGTATAAAAGAGGAGAAGACTGCAAGTTGGTTAGATATTGTGATGCTAACTATGCAGGAGACCATGATATCCGAAGATCAACCACTGGGTATATGTTTAAGCTCGGGTCGAGACCAATATCATGGTCAACCACGAAAGCGGAGTACAAAGTAGCGGCCATAGCAGCTCAAGAAAGTACATGGTAGGTACTCCTAATGGAGGACTTACATCACAAAGTTGACTATGTGCTACCACTTCACTGCGACAACGAATCTGCAATTCAGCTGGCAGAAAATCCAATATTTCATGCTAGAACAAAGCATGTGGAAGTGAATTATCACTTTATCGAGAGAAAGTCTTGAAGGTAGAAATTGAGATGCGACAAATCAAGACCGATGACCAAATAGCAGACTTGTTCACGAAAGGGTCGAGTACTGGAAAATGTGAAGGTTTTCGCTGTCAGCTTAACATCATACGAAGAATGGGGGCTAGTGCTAAGGGGGAGTGTTAAAGATCATCACTAGCCCAATAGAACAAATATTATCTAGAAGACTTTAGCTTGTTCTAGAATGCTCTAGAATATTCTAGAACATTATGGAAGACTATGGAAGACTCTGGAATATACCGGAAGAGTCTAGAATACTCTAGAACGACATAGAAGACCCTGGAAGGTTATGGATCATTTTATAAGACATTGGAGCATCCTAGACCTCTCCAGAACATGGTAGAACATTCTAGAAACATATGGAAGCTTATAGAGTTTGTCAGATAGTTCTAGAGTTATCTAGTGAGTAGTTAGTATATACTAGTATCTAGAACCTTTCTAAGAGGCCTATAAATAGGTGTGGAGTTCATTTGCTCTAAACCATCCAAGAAAAGCCTCAAATAAAGCAAAGTGTGTAGTAGTCTCTCAAAGTGTAAATTTTTCTTAAGTGGTCTTAATAAAAGTATTGTTGTTTCCCACACAAAGAGTCGTGTTCAACAAGTTATTTGTTTCATTATATTTCTACCAATTACAAAAATATCAATGCCAAATTTCAAACATCATTACCAAGAATAAAACAAATAACAAACCATGGTTTATTATAAAACTCAAACCATTGATGTTTATCAACAATACAAGTAGTATCACCCACAAGGCTACAACTATCTTAAAATCCTTACTCTATGACGCAACAAACACATTAACAATTTCACTCGATGATCGAATAAACCCTAAAAGATAAAATCTCAGATAGTTCATTCCAACCCAAATTTTGTGTTGTTGGATACTCTTGCTGA